ACTAGCTCACTCCCTAAACATAATTAAATGGTTATTCGTATTTTTATTCCCTGGTCGATATTCTGGACAATATTTGGAGATAATGTATCTACTCGTACTAGCTCACTCCCTAAACATAATGAAAAGGCTATTAGTAGTGTTATTCCCTGGTCGGTATTTGAAGATAATATTCTAGACGATATTTTAAGATAATATATCTACTCGTACTAGGTCACTCCCTAAACATAATTAAAAGGTTGTTAGCAGTGTTATTCCCTGGTCGATATTTGAAGATAATATTCTAGACGATATTTTAAGATAATATATCTCCTCGTACTAGGTCACTCCCTAAACATAATTAAAAGGTTGTTAGCAGTGTTATTCCCTGGTCGATATTCTGGATAATTGTGGAGATAATATATCTACTCGTACTAGCTCACTCCCTAAACATAATTAAAAGGTCAGTAGTAGTGTTGTTCCCTGGTCGATATTTGAAGATAATAATTTGAAATAGTATATCTACTCGTCCTAGCTCACTCCCTGAACATAATGAAAAGGCTATTAGTAGTGTTATTCCCTGGTCGATATTTGAAGATAATATTCTAGATGATATTTGGAGATAATGTATCTACTCGTACTAGCTCACTCCCTAAACATAATTAAAAGGCTATTAGTAGTGTTATTCCCTGGTCGATATTTGAAGATAATATTCTAGACGATATTTTGAGATAATAAATCTACTCGTACTAGCTCACTCCCTAAACATAATGAAAAGGCTATTAGTAGTGTTATTCCCTGGTCGATATTTGAAGATAATATTCTAGACGACATATTCAGATAATATATCTACTCGTACTAGCTCACTCCCTAAACGTAATGAAAAGGCTATTAGTATTTTCATTCCCTGGTCGATATTTGAAGATGATATTTGGAGATAATGTATCTACTCGTACTAGCTCACTCCCTAAACATAATGAAAAGGTTATTAGTAGTGTTATTCCCTGGTCGATATTTGAAGATAATATTTGGAGATAATGTATCTACTCGTACTAGCTCACTCCCTAAACATAATTAAAAGGTTATTAGTAGTGTTATTCCCTGGTCGATATTCTGGATAATAATTTGAGATAATGTATCTACTCGTACTAGCTCACTCCCTAAACATAATTAAAAGGCTATTAGTATTTTTATTCCCTGGTCGATATTCTGGATAATATTTGAAGATAATGTATCTACTCGTCCTAGCTCACTCCCTAAACATAATGAAAAGGCTATTAGTAGTGTTATTCCCTGGTCGATATTTGAAGATAATATTCTAGACGACATATTCAGATAATATATCTACTCGTACTAGCTCACTCCCTAAACATAATTAAAACGTTGTTAGCAGTGTTATTCCCTGGTCGATATTCTGGATAATATTTGAAGATAATGTATCTACTCGTACTAGCTCACTCCCTAAACATAATTAAAACGTTGTTAGTAGTGTTATTCCCTGGTCGGTATTTGAAGATAATATTCTAGACGATATTTTAAGATAATATATCTACTCGTACTAGGTCACTCCCTAAACATAATGAAAAGGCTATTAGTAGTGTTATTCCCTGGTCGGTATTTGAAGATAATATTCTAGACGATATTTTAAGATAATATATCTACTCGTACTAGGTCACTCCCTAAACATAATTAAAAGGTTGTTAGCAGTGTTATTCCCTGGTCGATATTCTGGATAATATTTGAAGATAATGTATCTACTCGTACTAGCTCACTCCCTAAACATAATTAAAACGTTGTTAGCAGTGTTATTCCCTGGTCGATATTCTGGATAATATTTGGAGATACTGTATCTACTCGTACTAGCTCACTCCCTAAACATAATTAAAACGTTGTTAGCAGTGTTATTCCCTGGTCGATATTCTGGATAATATTTGAAGATAATGTATCTACTCGTACTAGCTCACTCCCTAAACATAATGAAAAGGTTGTTAGTATTTTTATTCCCTGGTCGGTATTTGAAGATAATATTCTAGACGATATTTTAAGATAATATATCTACTCGTACTAGGTCACTCCCTAAACATAATTAAAAGGTTGTTAGCAGTGTTATTCCCTGGTCGATATTTGAAGATAATATTTGGAGATAATGTATCTACTCGTACTAGCTCACTCCCTAAACATAATTAAAAGGTTATTAGTAGTGTTATTCCCTGGTCGATATTCTGGATAATAATTTGAGATAATGTATCTACTCGTACTAGCTCACTCCCTAAACATAATTAAAAGGCTATTAGTATTTTTATTCCCTGGTCGATATTCTGGATAATATTTGAAGATAATGTATCTACTCGTCCTAGCTCACTCCCTAAACATAATGAAAAGGCTATTAGTAGTGTTATTCCCTGGTCGATATTTGAAGATAATATTCTAGACGACATATTCAGATAATATATCTACTCGTACTAGCTCACTCCCTAAACATAATTAAAAGGCTATTAGTATTTTCATTCCCTGGTCGATATTCTGGATAATAATTTGAAATAGTATATCTACTCGTACTAGCTCACTCCCTAAACATAATTAAAACGTTGTTAGCAGTGTTATTCCCTGGTCGATATTCTGGATAATATTTGAAGATAATGTATCTACTCGTACTAGCTCACTCCCTAAACATAATTAAAACGTTGTTAGTAGTGTTATTCCCTGGTCGGTATTTGAAGATAATATTCTAGACGATATTTTAAGATAATATATCTACTCGTACTAGGTCACTCCCTAAACATAATGAAAAGGCTATTAGTAGTGTTATTCCCTGGTCGGTATTTGAAGATAATATTCTAGACGATATTTTAAGATAATATATCTACTCGTACTAGGTCACTCCCTAAACATAATTAAAAGGTTGTTAGCAGTGTTATTCCCTGGTCGATATTTGAAGATAATAATTTGAGATAATGTATCTACTCGTACTAGCTCACTCCCTAAACATAATTAAAAGGCTATTAGTATTTTTATTCCCTGGTCGATATTCTGGATAATAATTTGAAATAGTATATCTACTCGTACTAGCTCACTCCCTAAACATAATTAAAACGTTGTTAGCAGTGTTATTCCCTGGTCGATATTCTGGATAATATTTGAAGATAATGTATCTACTCGTACTAGCTCACTCCCTAAACATAATGAAAAGGTTGTTAGTATTTTTATTCCCTGGTCGATATTCTAGACGATATTTTAAGATAATGTATCTACTCGTACTAGCTCACTCCTAAACATAATTAAAACGTTGTTAGCAGTGTTATTCCCTGGTCGATATTCTGGATAATATTTGGAGATACTGTATCTACTCGTACTAGCTCACTCCCTAAACATAATTAAAACGTTGTTAGCAGTGTTATTCCCTGGTCGATATTCTGGATAATATTTGAAGATAATGTATCTACTCGTACTAGCTCACTCCCTAAACATAATGAAAAGGTTGTTAGTATTTTTATTCCCTGGTCGATATTTGAAGATAATATTCTAGATAATATTTGGAGATAATGTATCTACTCGTACTAGCTCACTCCCTAAACATAATTAAAAGGTTGTTAGCAGTGTTGTGCCCTGGTCGATATTTGAGGATAATAATTTGAAATAGTATATCTACTCGTACTAGCTCACTCCCTAAGGATAATTGATGGAGTTTCCTCTCTTGGTGCTGCGTGGTTTGCGTGGCCAGGACCAGCTGTTGCCTAGTATTGAGAGGTTTGGAGGTTTTCCCCTGCGTGGGCACGTTTTCTCTTCTTCCTCTCCCCAACCCGTTCAGATCTCGTGCTGCTTCCTGTGCTGAGAGACCCTTGTAGGTCTCTCAATTATCTTAAAATATTATCCAGAATCTCGTCGAGGTAATAAAACTGCTAACAACCTTTTAATTATGTTTAGGGAGTGGACTAGTACGAGTAGATATATTATCTTAAAATATCATCTAGAATATTATCTTCAAATACCGAATTATGTTTAGGGAGTGAGCTAGTACGAGTAGATATATTATTTTAAAATATTATCTCAGAATATCGACCAGGTAATAACACTACTAACGACCTGTTACTTATGTTTGAGAATAACACCTGCGTAAACCCAGTCTTATGGCGCAAAGCAAGTTGCTGATGTTAGTATTCTGAACGTAATTAAGTGCAATACACTGATGGACCCGCCTTGGTGCTTAACGTAAATATTAAAACCAATACTGGGAACAATATGTAATAATATTAAAATCAATATTATATATTATGAAAGTTACATGATCTAGATTGAAGCCATGCCCGATTATGGCAGGTGGCAGGCCATATGATATGACTTTGCGGACGCTGTGCCGATAATACTGCCACTCTTCAGCGCGCAGGACATGAATTCAAGACAAATATGAGAAGTAGATTCTCGTTGCATACTTCCGGACTTATGTGTTGGCGCTAGCTGCCGAGGTAACGATAAGCAACCCGACCTTTCACTGCAGACCGCACACCTCTCGGGCGGTCTCTGGACTCACTCACTCTACTAATCATATTGGTCGTCATGTTGTACCAAAATTTTGAAAAATAGAGCAGCCACAATCTATCTCAAAACGGGATCATTCAATTTTCCTAGATACAGGATTAGCCTACTGAATTCCAAACTCTCAATGCCTGTACACCGACTTGCTGTGACACTTCACACTTACGACTCTTCGCTGCGGGCGGGTTTGGGGGAAAATGTCCAGTAATTTGAGAGTCGGTCGGAATCCTTTTGCAACAATTCCGGACGGCCCTGCTTGCCACAATTTTAGTCAAGTGACCGTGTCTCTTGCATCACGTAACGCGTTGTTGGCCCGAGCGAAAGACACCGGCCCCTGGGCACAATTTCCACTTATTGAGCTGCCTTCTTTCTCCTTGTCTACCTGCTTGACGATGTCCTGGGGCTATTGGAAAGGTGCACACCGTTAGGCTGGGAAAATCACCATCCACGATACCATTTTCTCGATCGGTTTCCTTGCCTTCCACTTCATGATGTGGATCATTGCGACGTCCATTGATCTAAATAACAAAGCAACGAGTAGCGGGGAAGACATATGGGACTGGTTCTGCACCGAAAACACTTGGGAACAGCTTTTCTCTCACACCAATAGTTACGCCCGATTATGCCGTCTGCAGGTTCGTATAGTTCCCGAAGCTACGAGAACATTTGACTAACGATATTGATTAGAAATGGGGGCTTTTTTTGATCGCCATTGGCATTGTTATTAATCTCGTGATTCTGCTCGTCTACGGCATTGGCGCATACGGTGTCTGGTTCGAACGGCGCCTCCTGGGGGCCGTGAATGGTTGCGGCCTGTATGCTATAAATTTGACCAATATCTTATATTTTTAGAGTCATCCGATACAGAAATGGCAAGGATTGATAAAATCATATTTAAAGACTTCTATGCATGAAACTGTTGTCCTTTCGCTCGCTCTACTTGCTATCCTTTCCATTCCGAGTTTATCTTTACATTGACACGTTTTTCTCTTTTCTATATCCAACCTTCTCTCATTACTCTATCGTCCATCAGGTCTTCCATTGAGTTTGACTGACTGTTTGAAGGTCCATTCTGAGATAATATTACACGGTTCCCTGGATCTCTTCGCGGCACTTCCGTCATCCGTCTCACAAGGAAGTACCTGCCTTAGTGAGGGCTTCACCGTCATCATGCCTTATTGCATTGGTAGGTCCTGCTCATGATTTGATTTCAAAAACTTGATAGGTTCGTGTCAGCATCAGACCAAAATGGCACGATATAATGTTGATGCTCAATGCCGCGATGCGAGGTTGATGCACCGACACGCGCGAGGACGCGCAACGCTGAATCGCGCTACCATACCCCGAGTGGTTTTTGGTACCTTGTGTCCCCTTTATGCAATATGAAAGGACTACGAAGCACTATTCTGTGGCAGCGTGACTCCTGTTGACTAAATAGTTCCATTGGGACTCGCTTGCCTGTACTAACACTTTTGGTTCTTCTCGCAGAGGTTTCACCAAACAAACTCGCTAGTTGTCACAACAAGGAGTGCCGAGACCAGAATATTGAGATTACAGAAGGCGAAATACGTGTCGGCACCTAGGTCGAAAAATTCAAAAGCTGGCGGTGGCGGCACTGGTAAGCCTTCTAAGTGCATCTTGCGCCTATCGTGGATCTGACAATCCATAGGGGCTGCACCATTCCCCTTGTTCTCACTAATATGAACAAGAACTTATTCGGAAAGAGAATTGAAAGGTGATGAAGATTTTGACCGTATCGATGGCTGGAAGGGTTTGTCCACGACCCAACAAGCGGCTGTCCGCAGAGCCCTCACAGAACGCCACATTCCAGATGAGGACTGGAAGGGCGTACGTGTACTTTCTTCCCCTGACTTTACGAAGAAAGCAGCTTTATGCCTCTGTGATCTTCAATTTTACCACTTCGCTGACATACGCATGTAGGATGTTGAGTGCAATCGGCCAGGCAAGCGAGGCTTCCGTCTTCCTAAGAAGAACGCGGGTGCTAAGAAAGACGTAGATCACTTTCTGCGAACCTATTTTTGCTTCATACTTCCGGGGCTAAAACCTGGCACAAGGCGGACGAATATTCCCAGTCCAGTGAGGCTGAAGCTGGCGAGAGAACCAAAATGACTGCTCGTGCTAAGAAGGCTACCGATGAAAAAGACAACATTGGGAAATCCCGAAAGCTTAAGCCACATACCCGTGGCGGGAAGCCGGAGAAGAAGCCAATGGTCGATGATTCAGCCAATGAGGATGCTAACCGCTATGTCTGTGTGGAAGGGAGATTTTTTATCACAACCATATACCCTTATTGTGGATGTTCATCTCAAGAGCGAAAGCCTTTTGACACCGCTCGGACACACACGAAAGACGCTTAGACACTCCGAAGAATGATATTTAGCAGGGATTGTGAGCTTGATTCATTTCCCTCGCGAATCTGAGATCATTAAGTTAGTTCACTCTCGTTGTTCTAATTACCCTATTTCTACAACTCACGTTTGGCGCGCACCCCGCACGTTCTTTCTTTCAGCTATTCATAAAGTCGAAACCAATCCTGAAGTACTTCAGTCTATTCTCAGAAAAGTACGAACGCAGTTCGCACTATCTTGGAAAGAAACCATACGTCAGAAACTCCAACGAAGAAGATGAGTTTACCGACGTAAATGACAGAGTCTACGATCACCATTCCACTCTATGCGATGTAGTTGTTATAGTGTAAAAGATGAAAGGGTCATATCCGAGTTACAGACGCCCCGGTTCGCAGGGTTTCAGACATTCTAGCAAGACATGGCCTCTTGGTATTACCATCAATTGCAGTACAAACAAAGATGGCCACAATACTTCTGGAAAGGCAACATGTCGGAAACCTATCGAGGTAGACCGTAGTGGACCGGGAGTTCTGGGACCCACTTGTCGGGAAAACGGATTTTTGAGGCCAGAAAAACCCGCGAATTAAAATGCGTTATGGCGGAGAAAAGCGTGGAAATACTCAAATGGTTCCCCAAATCCATAAACAGTGATCAATATACCCTTTGTCTGTAAAATTTGCGAGGAGGCTGAACATTCGTTGTCTGACTGACCCTGATCGGACCCACAAGCTCTTCCAAAAGGTTTAAAAGGTTGGTCAAGATAATGGAAAACAAACACTCGCAGACACAAGTGATAGGCTCATACTATAGTATTACGTAGACTGGACCAAGCAGGTGAGAGGAATGTCAATTATGATAAAGAGAACTAGGGTGACTCCTCGATTCACATTCGCAATATTGGTGTCAAAGGACAGATTCGCTGGTGCTTTGTCTACTGATCACTTATCTCCGTTACTATCACAATCATTATCCTTTGATCTTCATGACTAGTTCACATGCAGTGTGAGAAAAACTTTGTTTTGAAAATACTGTTAGCATTGGAAAGATACTTGAAGCCAAGAAAAACCACGAAGGAGTTCCCGCTCTTGTAAATCTGGACTGGAAAATAGCGATGATTAACATGAAGAGGTATAAGAATGTATTGATGACAACATATGACAAAGGCTTCAATCCATCGCACCGAAAAGGTGATATCAATTAGGAAAGGCCCATGCTATGGAGGTGCGTTGATGTATCAGTGCCTCTCTTCATCAAGGGTCCGCTGAGCTCTGGCAGGGGCAATGGAAACAGGTGTCGATTCGATCAACTCTAGGAGATAGACCACAAGACCTTGTGCTAAACTTTGCTTTTTCTACTCCTTTTCTATTTTTTTTCACATCAGACTTGGGATCATCAAATGCATAATTTTCTGGAAACCTTCTCGAGACTTCTTGGCACGGAACACTCGCTATCTCACTAGTAAAGCTTTGCCGTTAAGACAGCCTAGATGGTTGTTGGCTCTTCAAGCTAAGCTATAGGCGAGGAGGTGTTCAAATACAACTCCATATTTGTATTGCTTAAATAGCAAGAGCCATTCGACTAAAAGGTGCTTTGTTAGGTAACGGATTTACTTGTTGCGCTCTAGCTCGACAGTCTACATCCATCGTTCTCGTTTTATTCATCCTCTGGCATACATTGCATGGCCAGGTGCGACTATAGACGTTTCTACGCGCCTGCGTCAACGAGAATACAATTTTCAGAATGGAGCGGGTTTGCTGATTGCTACAGGTGTCAAGTCCAAATTTTGATATCTTGAATAAACAACAGCTCATGCACTCTGTCTCCAGCAACATAAAAATTAATCATGTCTGTCATGCTTTTGGTATTTCCTCTTTCTCCGGACAGTCCTCTTGTACTAAAATTTTCCAAACGGACCTACAGAATTCTCTCTGCGTTTGAAAGTATCCCAAGAATTGGTCCTCGTTGATAGATATCTGACGAGTGACCTATGGAATTACTTAGGTTATGGGCAAGAACCCAGCCACAGCAGACTGTTATTAGGGATACCTGTGCATCAAGTTTGGCACTTCCAAAAGTTCGATTCGTTCGAGGAAGAGATACTACAAGCCTGAAGTTGCAAGCTAGGTAGGATACTTACCTTCATCTCAGGGTTTGCTTTAGAATGTGAATGAAAGTACTTGAACTCTCAGATAGCCCTATACCTCTTCTATTCCCTTGAGAGGGGAGCTATATCAAGTAGCTAATTGCTTTGTTTTCCTAGACTATCTGCGAATAATGTGTTTTCTAGGCCTTTCTAAGTCTGACCTGGAGAAAGGCAGACATGGTAGGTATTGTAGCGAGGTAGTATACGTTATTGAAGCCACAAGCTCATAGATGCACTGCAGGTAGGAAGGCAGGATTCATGGGACTCGTGTAGGCGTCTGGAATGGGCACAGTACCGTAGATGACCTCACCGGGGGCCGCAGGCACTTGCTGCTGCGCCTCGTTTCGGGTAGGTGAAGTACTCGGCCTGGGTACTAATACCGACGCTAATCTGCCTTGTTGCGACTCTGGCATTGACTGATGACGGCGACCAGGGGCCTGCCCCTGAAACGAGGAAATTGGTCGTGTAGGCAAACGCAACGAGTCAAACTGGATCGTAAACGGCTCCACTTGGCCCTTTTCTGCTACAGGCAAGGGGTCAATAGAAACGGTATACGGCGACTTGCCTGGATCGCTCGTGTGGCTAGAGAATGCAGGACCGTTGGTTGCGGACTGTAAGTCAAGATCAGAACAGACCTGGCCGTAATAATTGAATTTCGGTCATGGTCAAACTCTTCCGACTTACAACATATTTAATTTTTACTACTCATACATTACTCCTCAAGTTCAACTGGCTGGTATTGCAGGCCACGTGTGCAGAGGAAATCAACTAGGAGACTCTGACTTGAGAACCCCCGGTCCTTCTCCTATCCACTACGTACAACTACCACATGATCAATCTTCCCCTCGGGATCACGATACGACGAAATTCCGTCAAATAGTCACAAAGGTTATGCTTTTGGATTTAAGTGATTGGAACGACAGGGGTTATGATCTACGCCCCCTTCTTTCGTCTTTGCCTTAGCTCAGTTTTCTTCTCGTGCTTGGAACAAAGAGAAAGTGAAAATAATCTCTATCACTGGGTGTCCATTTTCACTATTGATTATTTTAGCACTTAGCTAGGCACCTTGCTGAGTCATTTCATCTTTTAAGCGCTAAATATCTTCTCCACAGAAAAATCAATCCGGCAGTCCTTACCACACCTTTGAACTATCCCACCTTCCCCCGATAGCATGGTAGAATATCCTTAGCGGCTAAAGTTCTACCCTACACTATGATGATAGAGAAAAAAGAATACCGAGGAAAAAGTAGGGAACGGGGGCGGGGCTATGGGAAGGAAGGCAGACAGCGCTCTCGAGTGCTTCCAGTATACTTGGGTCCCGTAGCTGGCGGTACTCACCTAGTCACCGCCCGCTATATTGTCTGGAAAATCTACTTCGGTGTTGAGAGACATATAAGTAAAACTATGAATCATCCATCCCAAAGCTCGATGGAGGCAGATAAGAATTTGTCGTTGACTCGCTTGTAAGGGAGGAGACAAGATTCCCAGTTGGGATTACTTACTACCTTGTCGGAGCGATTGTGTCGACAAAATTACACTTGAGAACGCCCACTTTACGATGATGTACACTTCCCAGCTTTTTTGATAGCTCTTTTAAGAGACATTCGAAAGGCTGATGCTACAAAGTAGTAGAAAGAGCGCCGATTTCGTTTGACTCAGCAGGAAGGCTTAACTAGTTAACGTTAACGTAAGTCCCGGCTACCTTGGCCATCCCAAAACACCGTACAAAATGCGATATTCCATGTCACAATATATCAACAACGAGCAAAGAACTCTACTTCAATTGTGACATCATATTATTTCGTAGTACTCGAAGTATTACGGCATACTCGATTTGTCCAGGAAATGATTACATACCGCTATTACCAAAAGTACGTCCCGATCGAGCGACGTAGATATTTATGCCTATATTGTTACGGCTTGACATATTATACGACTTGATACAAATATCCATTACGATATGTTAAGCACCAAGGTGTCTGAAAGCTTTGATATTCAGTGTTGAATGTTGATTGAGTATGGAGTTGCGAAAAAGCGCATTCAGTATGGTGTTTTGGGGTGGCCAGGGTAGCCGGGAATTACGTTATGTGACCACTGCCTATCTTACCACATACTAGCCGAACTAATGGTGGCTTACGTATCCTAGCAAGCCTTGCCTAGGCAGCAATCGATTATGATTATCAAAACAATTCATTCTATACTTCGCTTTGGCTCGGAGTCTAGCCACCATAATTTGTGAAATCAAATAGTTCACGTGTTCTAAAAGTTCTAGTCCTGAACACATGTACTTGCAGTATTGGCTTTTCGAGCAGGGCATAAATTGCAATCCATGAATCTGATGCTTTGTAGCTCGGTTCTGTGTAGGGATTTGTCCAATTCAATTTTGTAATTTCTCGCAGGATCATTATTCGCATCGTAGCCAGATATACATTCCTAAATCAGATTACGTGGGGTTCCTCTACAGTTAAGGTCCAGTTTGAGAAGTCGTAAAGCTTGATGTACGTTAATACGATAACGTCAGTATTTCCTCAGTCAAGATTTGTTTGAAGGCCAGCATAGGCGAAAGCGCCTCACCCTTCTTTACTCGGGTGCGTAGTAATTGTCGTTGATCTGAGCCATATTAGTAAAACAATTAATGTGTAAAATAAACACTGTGCCTAAATAAGCTTCAGTCGTATTCCGAAACGCCACTGCGGCGAAGCACGGCTCCGGTGAGCGCGACTATCGGAAATGCCATAGGTAGTAAGTAATCAATGAAATTCATTTTTTTGGGAACAGAGACTGACATCTACAACAACTGGGTCGCAGGGCAAAGCGCCAGGACAGATACCCACTACGAACTTGTCGAGTAAACGTACGTAGAAACAAGATGAATTGGAAATTCGACTAATTACACGTACCTATTCACTCTCCATTGGAGCCACCGAGGGAAGAGTAGGAGATGTAACAGCACTTGTGACTATGGGCGAGTTACCTCCCCATAAGTAACCGTATCAGATAATCAGCCTCGCACCATATAGCTACGAGGAATAGCCCGTGACCATTGCCGTGAATGATATAACGCCTTGTAGTCTGCCTTGCCAGGCAACCTGGGCTCCTTTTCTTAATCTTCGACAGATAGTCGAATGGAGCGTTATTATTATTCTTTAATTGACGGCGTGCACGTCGAGGCGTTTTCCACCCAGTCAGGAACCCCTGACCTGTGATATAAAAATATGCTTGGTTCCCACCTGAACCGGCTCATTCCGTCTTTTTTATCCCACGAGATCCCATGCCACCTCCAGCTACAATGCCCGCTATATCAGTCCGCAAAGGCTCTCTGAGCTCCGTTGGTAAAGCCGAAATCATTACGCCAGAGCAAGTCAAAGGTGCTGGTATTGAACTCTGCGAAGGACGCTTGAAACCGCGATGAAGAACCTCCGCTGATCCTATCAATGTCGTCTTCATTGTCGCGACTGACAATGAAAAGAAGCTCGAGAACATGGATTAACACATGCAAGAAAGTCTCCCCGAGTTTTGCAGAAAGATAAAACGTTCAATCAAATTTCTCGGCCCTTTTGGCCTGCAGGGAGCTGCCTCAGGTGTGCCGGCTCAGCCACAAGGTTTCGAGGAAGGCGTTACCGGCGCCGCCGGAAAGTATGGCCGTATTGGAAACGCTTTTACCGCCGCCAAAGACTTTCAAGACGAATCAGCCACATGTCCAAGGAATCCAAGGAGCTGGCCACAGCGATATAAGGCGCGGATGTTCATATTTTTGGTGGACAGGAGGCGTCCCCGGACCTGCAGTCTAAACCGCCCTATGAGCCGAACTACCTCGCCTGCTACAATGCCACCGAGTCCCCTGTACCCCAGGAGGAGCGCTACTGTGTGGTGAAAAGCCCTGGACTGGAGGTGGTCAAGGCCGCCGTCGAGGAAGCTATTCGACGCAATAAATCACTGGACGAAGCTGGCAAGGACTGGACCGGTGGTAATATTCTTGTGGAATACGGAGTGGTGGAAAGCGCCTCAAATTGGCACCCAGAGCTTGCGAAGGACAAAAAGGATCGATCTGCTTATGCAAAGGAGGGTTTGAAGAAAATGGACCTATCTGAAGTGTGGTTCGAACATTTCTCCTAAGGGTCTCCCACTTCGTCCCTCGACAGCCACTCTTCCGAAAGAAATTGATGCGCCTGAAAATCAGGCTCATCGCGGAAGGAGCTTTTCGGCAGTCTTTCAGCTTCGTTCTGTTCCCTGAGGGAACGATATCTTCCGTATTATGGATCTTCGTTTGCTCATATTAGTCTTTCATTGTGCCGCAATCGCTCCTACACCTCTGCTGCATAACTTACGATAGAAACTCCCCTTTAGATATTTACCTATATAGCTAAAAGCCTCTTTAAAGAGCAAATTCGCGCTGCGTAGGCAGATTTCGCCTTCTCCATGTTCTTTGTCAAACTTGAGTCTCTCTTCTCCTTTGCCATAAATCAGTAAGCCGGAGAGACCACCCGCAACCGCCCAAGCGATCATAGATCCCAAAAAGATAAACTTTCAACTATACATTTCTCGCTTTAACGGGAATGATCTAAATCTCACAACATCAGAGCCAAAAGTCCGGTCCCGCTAGTTATCATTGTAGGCTTAGGGTTAAAGATCGTGTCATAGAAATGGGAAGACATGGAACCCCCTTTCTTGATAAATATGCGCATGGAAATGCCGACTCAATGATTTGTGCATTAGAGAAGTATGCATTCCCACGCCTGTAATGTTGATAGCTTCAGAGCCTGGTGGTAGTTGATCTACGAAAGCCATCAAAGCCTGAACGAAAGTGATGAAAAGAAAAGCTCAGAATTTCATTCACGTCAAATGACTATAACTTAATACTCAATGGTTCGCGTTATGTTGGTCGCAAACGTCAAAGATCTGTCAAGAAATGAGAATTTCAATGCCTATACTTCCCCCGCACTATTCAGGTGTATTGCCTAATTTTAACAGTAATCAAACAGAAATAGATGTGTACATTCCTTCTAGTACATCCGCAAATCTTAAACACAGAATGGTAGAGATTCTGTACCCTCTGTTATTTTACAGGCTTTTTCTCAAGCCTCGCCTCTACCGGAAAAGAAGTCTCCACTAACTAGACTAATTGGATGACCAAGAGCCTAAACTCAGACGGCAGACCTTTTCTCGGGCATGCTATATCCTATGCTGTACTTCAATACGGTCAGACAATACACATCCAAGGGGATTGGTATGTCAAGCAATCTCTCTGCCTGTCCGGCGTCCTGATCCGCAGATCGATATTTGCTTAGGAGTTTCTTTCCGGGTCCGGTCTCTGGCCCCGAGAATTAAACTCCTTGGATACGTTTAAACCTCGCGTCATGGGCTTCTCTGGAGGGGGTGGGCTTAAGTAGACGCCGCCAGCCTCACCAGGTTCCTTTTCCTCCGTGGGCTCGGTTGAGTCTGCAGACCGGACGATTATCTTAGGAAGATTGGAAGGAGTATGCGAGTCCATTGTTTAGCGGAACGATTCTCTGTGTGCACGCTTCAGCTCAGAGTTGAAACCTGTTTATATAGTGTCTCCCCTGTTATAGCTCTTATGAATTCCGAATAAGAAGTAAACACGAATTAGACATGTCCAAACCTGGCATCTATATGCATTGGCACGTAATCACTCGATGAAAGCAAGGCGATTGATTGGCGTGATGCGAAACCATCCCTTAAACAAGAGCCAGGACTGTCTCCAGTAAAATACACAGGACGGATTTAGCATTCCTGAGCTACTTGTCGAAAATTGGCTATTGAATTTAGTGCTTGTCATGATGGAAACAAATTCATAGTACATTACGTGCTCTTTCCGTCTTTATACTACGTCTTTGAATATGACATCAATGATCGCTTCATGTTGCCAAGTTAATGACAGAAAAGGACCAGGCCTTCAAATTTATGTAATCAAAATTCTTGAAAGGGTCTTGTATACCCTCTTTCTGGTATTTCTTTATTAATTTTTATTTAGCAGCCGAGGTTCGGACAGTTTGCTGACTTTCGCATTCCAAGGAGGGTAGGAGGGTAGCCGACTGGCATAGCTCATCCGTCGCGGCAAAAGAGTGGTTCTTCACACACGTCGAAGGAAAATTGATCGTTTGTGAATATGAAATTCTTGCTGAGCCATGAGACCTTCCATAGAAGGTGTCTCTTCTTGGTAGAAATGAAGGACAATCCATAATCTAGATAATCTAGAATGGAATGTTACGCTAGTCAGGTCCTGTGCCATATCTCCCATGTCCTCGCGAACCAGACATCCGCCAACAAGAACAACTTTGGCTAAACCCGCAAGCGATCCATGGAGGCGAGCCCATCTCTTTCGCATGACAAAATTTTCTGAAGTTTTACATAATACATGAGTTCTTAACGCGAAAATTTAAGAATACACTAATTTTGAGTACCAGTCCGGTGTGGGAGAGGGGGCCCGGTTAGTTCAGACCACGTTAGAAAAAGAGACTGGTTTCTATTCATTTATATTAAGCTCAAGATAACATTTCATCTAAATTCACTGCACATATAATTAGGTGGTGGTCAGTTAGCTCACCTCAAAACCCCCTCCAGCTGGTCATATGTACTTCACCTTGACTGTCTGTCCCTATTTGTCTCGCCGATACCTACGGAGCAATATATTGGATGTGCGGTGCTTCCGATGCCACAGTAACATTGCATTGAATTGGTCTTGAAGAAAGTCAACTTCCTCCTGGAATGTGGAGAGAGCACTTTTATAATCTTGGAAATGCAGTTCTTTGAGTAGGCCATCGATGAGCGAGCATAATATGGAGATATACGACAAGTAAATTTGCTCCTCATACATAGATTTCTGCGTCTATTTCAGAAATCGCCGCTTTGAAAGCTGTCGAAGTGATTCACTTGAATCTTTGACATATTGCTTATAAAGCGATTTCAACCCCGAGAAGCTGAGATAACACACCAATGAGTCGGAACAGTATCTACATTGATCCGGCAGATACTCCAAAATGTCATGGATCGGGATCTGTGCCTTATATCCCAGAAACGCAAGGTACGGGACCTCCCCCCTCGTACCAATTCTGACATCATCCGGTCTAATGAGCTGATTTCTCACCAGGCACGTCAGTCTTATTACAGCGAAGGCAGACAAAGCAACGTGATAGGATGAAATAGTATCTCTACTGGCTCCTTTCAATAGAACTGTTGAGATAGTTTGGTGGTCAGGCGCGTCACACCAGCGTGGTGCACGCCTACGCACACCACCACCAGTAGTTTAGATAGCACCTCTCACCAGATAAAATCTCACTATCCCTTTCTCCCCTCTTTTGGTCAGTGCTACGTTTTCCGTAGCTCACTGATAAGGACCATGTTTGCTATATAATAGTGCTCTTGAGTACGCGTCCGCGATGAAGTATTGTGACCATATCGAACAGAATGGGTGGAAATCTTGTTCATCGTTCTCATATCGCCTTATTGATGATACTAGAGTAGCAAGATTGAATGGAAAGACACAAAACTGCTGTAAAGATCCTCTAGTGCCCTTTTGTCACCGTCCTCGCGTATTTCTTTCGCCTCAAGTGGGTGAATTGGGAAGGCCTTTTCGAAATCTCATTACAGCAAAACTACCGACCGATGCAACCTCATCTCTTTCATTACACCGAAATACTTATCGGAGGCAGTAGAGTTTGAGTAACCTGGAATTGGGCTTTGTAGCCACGACAACCCAATTTTGTTAATTCCGCAGTTCCACTAGGCGCAACCCACGGGGTGGATAATTGTCCACGAGTTTGGCAATACATAGAGGGAATTCTGATTTCCCCATACGACATCTGTGTTGCCGATTTGTCACGTCATTAGAAAATCTAAAAGTAAATTCTCGATCGCTAAGTGGTATGTACGTCAATTGGGCGACTTTTTCAAGTCTGCTATATTCTTTGAGAAATTTAGCAAAGGCTAGTAATGCCTCCGGATTCTTTCCCATTTCGCAACTCGGGATAGGGTTTTATTGTCCAAAGTCTGAATTTGAGGTAAGGTATGATATCACCTAACAGTAATTTTGCGGATACGCCCCGCAATACGAAGTAAGGCATGGCAGGAAACCATTGATGAGGGAAAGTATGTATTTGCTCTAAATGGCTTATTTGCGCAAGTCGGCTCCTCTTGTTAAGATTCGCGATAAGAGAATCCGGTATCCCCCAAGTTGGCCATAGTATTGATTAGTGGCCGGCCCGTAACACCAAAGATAAAGCGATGGAACTAGAAACTAGCAACCATGTCTGTGCTATTACGAGAGAGCAAAGGAGTATTATGGTAAGTTTTGCGTAAATGTTTACCACATTTGCATTGTCACCGCGACGCTGGCGTAAATATTGTATATCATACCTTAATATTTTCGACATACTACGCAGCCTTCAAGATACAAAAATAATGCAAATAGACCAGCCATGGTGCCGAGTGTGTGAGTGACCAAAGATTCCATAATATTTACGTGAGTACACGAAGCTTAATGATCTGAATGGAGTGAGCGCGAAGTTTTTCAATGAAGCCGGTTGTCTTCACAGACAATCGAAGCAATTGTACGTGTACAGTAAAAATTTATAAAGTCCAGACCGCTGGGCTTCGACTCTTTCACAGATATACTAAAAGCAGTACAAGAACCGAGTCTCTCTCACCCAGCCCAGCTGCAGACTACGTCACGAGCTTGCTATCTTGTTTACTCGCCGATCATTAATTCAATCGTTCCCCTGTCTCGAAATCTCTTTGCTCCCGGTGCGCCGGCCCAGCTTCTTATGCTCAAGTTACCTACAATATAAGAGATACCAAATTCTTCCTGAGTACCCGCGCCGCGTGATAATTACAGTAAAAGCGGAATGTCTCCTTAGATTCCTTACTATGGCGTGTCACATGAACAGCTTCCATGCTTTATGTGTATCATTGAGTCACGAAGCTCCACAGGAACCTGGTACAGGAAGGGGAACAAAAAAAATAAGAGCAGTAAATTTTAGCTTTCAGTTAGAATTGCGTCGGGCACAGAGGCACCTTTCAAGCCTACTAGGTAACGTAATCCACGCCCGAACGGAACACACGACCGAGCGGAACACCCCAAAACACCATACTGATTGCCA